TCTCTCTCTCTCTCTCTCTCTCTCTCTCTCTCTCTCTCTCTGTACATTTGCTAATGAATTGTTAAAAGATAAGTAAAAACAAGGCATGTGAAGGTCCTTTAAAGACCTGTGCTCAAGAAGTGGACTCCCGCTATTCTTACCTTTCTTAGCAGGGTCGCCATTAGCCGCTTTAAAAACAAATACAAAAGTTCTTGGTTTGAGGCTTTTGGTGTGAGCAGAGTAAGTCAGAAATGTGATCACAAGTTCATTGTTCATTTAGAACATTCTAGATACACAGCAGTGGAGGGATGGAGGGAGAGAGGGATGGAGGGAGGGCACACAGGTTCTGTGCTGGTCTCCAGACCCTGGGAGGAGGCACTGTCACTTGTCCTGGAACCTGACTCCTGGGAAGTCCCTGTGACCCCAAGACCTTCCCTGGCATGCATTTTCCTTCCTAGTGGATGAATCATTTGCTTCCAAGCAGGCGGGAACCAACCTAGCAGGGTGCAGAGCAGAAATCTTGCTCCTAACTCCCTGTGTGTCCTCTGGCCAAGCACCTACTCATTTTCTATGCCTCAGATTTGTCACTGTACTAGTTACTTTTCTGTTGCTGTAACAAAACGCCATAACCAAGGCAACTTATAGAAATAAAGTTTATTTGGCTTTTGGTTCCAGAGGGTTAGAGTTCATAATGGTGGGGGAGGTATGGTAGCTGAAGTGACCAGAGCCAAAACCTGTGTGCACATCTTCAAGCAGGCACAGGAAGGAGAGAGACAGAGACAGAGACAGAGACAGAGACAGACAGAGACAGAGACAGACAGAGAGAGAGACAGAGACAGAGAGACAGAGAAAGACAGAGAGAGACAGAGACAGAGAGAGACAGAGAGACTGGAAATCCAGCCAGGCTTAAGAACTCTCAAAGCCCACCCCTAGTGAGCTGCACCACCTGACCCCCACCCCCACCCAAAAAAACAGCGCCACCTACTGGAGACAAACTGTCCAAATAATTACAGCCTATGAGGGACATTCTCATTCAAACCACCACACTCCCCTGTCAGATGGTAGCATAGCACTTGCTACAGGGTGCCTGTCACAATCCGCTCAGCTTGCTGTGACCAAGCTGTATGGAAATGGGCAACAAAAACCACCAAACGGGATCACTCTGAGAATGAAAAAAACAGTTTATTGACAAACTGCTGGGCTACCTCTCAAAGACAGAGAAATAGCAACTGACAGAAGAAGTAGGACAGATTTTACAGGACGTTAGAAACCTGGGTGGCTTTCCATGAGGCTCTTGCCTGGGGCAGGGGGGGTGGGGACGACCATGGAATTGGAGGATGAGGGAACTGTAATTTTCCTGATAAGCAGAGAGTTTTATGAAACCTGGTTTCTGCTGGGGACATTTCCAAAACCTGGTTTCTGCCAGGGGGAGGGGTTGCAGAGACTGGTTCCTGAGGAATGCTAAGTTTCAGTTTTCCTCTTCCTGGTTGTGGAGCCCATAGGCCTGACATTGGGGGGATTGGCAGCAGTGCCACAATTTTGAGGACCTAACACAAGTGCCATCTTCTGGGTGACCATCTTAGTTATTTCTGAGGCTGTGATAAAACACTCTGACAAAAGCTTCTCTACTTTGGATGGTCCAGGCTTCCCTGCCAGTATGGTCACACACACACACACACACACAATTAAGATGAGTCTTCCAGGGCTGCAGAGATGGCTCAGCAGTTAAGAGCACTGGCTACTCTTGTGCAGGACCCGGGTTCAATTCCCAGCACCCACATGGCAGCTAACAACCATTTATAACTCCAGTTCCAGGAGAATCCAACACCCTCTTCTGTCTTCCAGAGGTGTTGCATGACACTGGTGCACTTACACACAGGCAAGCAATATTCTCATACACATAAAATAAAAATAATAAATAAAATATTTTAAAAGATGAGTCCTCCCACATCAATCAGTATAGTCAAGATAATCCCCCACATGCACCCGCCTCTCAGGTGAGTCTCGGTTCTGACAGGTTGACAGTCAGCACTGACCACCACAGTGGCAGATGAGCAATGAACATCTGTAGCTCATAGTTTCAGACATATATGATCATAGTGCAGCAGATTCGGGGTCAGGCAAGGATCTGCTTCTCCACAGACGGCACCTCCTGGGTCTGCCTTCATGTGGTGGAAGAGGACAGACAGATCTCTGAAGGCTCTGTCTCATGACCAACTCGCCTCCCATTGACCTTCCTTCTCCCAAAGCCCTGGCATTGGGGGCTGTGACTTCAGTATATGAAGGGGGCAGGTTCAGCCAATAGCAGCTGTGAGGAGCCTGTGAATGAATGTGCAGAACGTTTAGGACAATAGTACTACCTACAGCCTGTATCAGCTAGGTGTGGCTGCCATAACAATCAGCACAAATTTCCTAGCCAAAAAAAAGATCATGAGTTTATTGTTACAGTTCTGAAGGACAGACGTTCAACATGGCCTCACTAAGTCAAAGTGAAGCCGTGCACAGGACCAGATGCTTCTGGAGGCTCTGAGGCAGTTTCTATCTCCTTCTTTCCCAGTTTCTAAAAGCTACCTGTGGTCCTTGTGTCATGGCCCCTTCTATCTTCAAAGTCAGCAGCACAGCATCTTTGGCCTTTCTGTTCTGGTCCTCCATGCCCATCACCCTATCTCCACTCCATGTCCATCACCCCATCACCCCTCCGTGCCCATCACCCCATCCCCCCTCCGTGCCTATCACCCCATCTCCCCCATCTTCCCTTTCTTCCCTTGACCTCCCCACTACCTCTTTCATGGAGCCTTGTGATTCTGTCAGGTCCACTGGACAATCAAGGATAATCCCTCATCTCTGGGCCTCTCATTGAATCACATCTACAGAGTCCCTTTTACCTTGCAAGGTCACATATTCATAGAGTCCAGGTATTGGAATCAAGGTACATCAGGGCCGTTATCCTGCCTAACACAGAATGTCTTCTAGTTCCCTTTCTGTTGCTGTGGTAAGACACTGAGCCAAGCCACTTGAGGAAGGAGAGGTTTATTTCATTGTAAACTCCCCATACTATACAGCCCTCAGTGGGAGAAGTCAGGGCAGGAACTCAACCAGAACTGAAGCAGAGGCCATGGAGGAATGCTTTCT